TACCATGCATGTGTGTGTATCACATTTTTAAATCCATTCATCTTCTGATAGACATTTAGGTTGATTCCCTATCTGGGCTCTTGCGAATAGTCCTGTAATAAACATGGGACTGTGGATATCTCTTCAACACACTGACTTTATTTCCTCTGTAATATATACTCATTAGTGGGAATGCTGGATTGGTACTTTTTCTTTTTGGCAGTACTAGGGTTTGCAGGGCCTCACGCTTGCTAGGCAGGTGCTTTTACCACTTGAGCCACTCCACCAGCCTTTGGATTGATAGTTTTAAAAAACTTTTATTTCTATTTATTTTATGTTGAATTTAGTCTCATGCTGTAAGGGTTTTTTTATTTTTATTTATTTATTTTTTTTCAGTTTCTTCTGGGTATGTTTTGTGAAACTCCTCTTTTTGTTTGAAAGAATTTCAAATGTGGCAGGGGGAGCTCATGTATGGGTTAATTGAGCCATGGGCTCTAGAAGTACAGTGGTGCATCTTGGGTGCTTTGTTCACCTGGACATGACACCAGAGAATCTAAACCTTAAATTTCAACATTACTGTCTGCATTTTTGTTTAAAATTTTGTGCAGCAAAAATTCAGCACTCTTTTTGGGCCACCAGCCCTATGTCCAGCTTCACTGGCCTGGGCACACCTAACAACTCCACCATTATAATACCTGAAAGGCACAATAGATTTCTTCAAAGTGTCATCTTTGAGATACATGGTTTTTTGTTTTTTGGTTTTTTTGATAGGCATATCTTTGATGGCCTGGGCAGTTTCTCAGGTGTTCTTTCCCAACCCCCCCAGGTATTCTTAAAATGAACACAAAGACTTGAATCCTCTTTGTTGTTGTAGGGTTTTCTGAGTCAAGAGAGTAGTAAACCATTTTTACAGGTTACCTTAGGCCAGTTACAGGAAGAACTTGAATTGGTATTTTACTTGTTATGGTTATGGAGAAAGTCAAAGAGCATAGTATAGTATAGCTGGAGACACTTCTGAAAAATTCTCTACATTTTTTCAATGCTCACCTTTTGGTCTTGGCTGTCAGTATGCGAGACTGGTTTTTCTCAATCCATAGACACTAACTCACCACTGGCAAGGACTATTTGGGGTAATTAGGCAGCTGAGAACTAAACTGCCATCTCAAAGGTTAAAAATATTTAATTTCGTTGTCTTTCAATCATATTCAGCATAGTCTTCATAATGACTGCCGTCAGAATTTCCCTCCTTTCCCTTTCTTTTTTTCTTCCTTTTTTCTTTTGAGAAAAGATCTAGGCTGGCTTGAAACTCACTACAGCCCAGGATAGTCTGGAACTTGTGGTCCTCTGGTCTCCACCTCCTGAGTGCCGGGATTACAGACATGTACCACTATACCCAGCAGTCAGAATTTATTTCCATACAATTCTGCAAATGCTCAGACTCGTAAGGCACAACAAAGCAGACTGTCAGTGTGCTTTTGTACAATAGTTGGGGGAAGTTGAATAAAGATAGGTAAGTCATGGAAATCGTGTCAGCTCTAGAAAATCTTAGAAGAAAAAGAAAACAGAAAGAATAAAAATAGTTCAAAGGATTCTATTAAACATACTTCTTTTTGGGAATCTACATTACAGAAAAAATTCTCAATATGGAAAAAAAGAAACACTTAGTCATTTGTTATCTAAGGAACACTGGTTCCAGAACTCCCTGTGGTTACTAAAATCCATAGATGCCTAAGTTACTTATATAAAATGGTGTAGCATTTCAATATAATCTATGAACATCCTCCCATATAATTTAAACCATCTCTAGAGTACTTATATTATCTAATATAATGCAAATGCTGTGTATAATTGTTATACCGTATTGCTTAGGGAATACTGATAAGAGAAAAAAGTCTGCATATGTTCAGCACAGTTGTAATTTTTTTCCCAAATCTTTTTGATCTGTGGTTGGTTGAATCAATTGATGCAGAACTGAGGGATACACAGGACTGACTGGATGTAAAAAATGTTTTTTTTTAGAGCATTATTTAGAATACTGAAAATCTGAAGGAAATGTAAACACTGAATGTATAACAGAACAGTTAGGTTATTTCTAGCATACCTTTCTAAATAACACTAGAGACATTCAAGGATAATTACGAAGACAAGCAGTAATGAGGAATGTTATATATCAGAAAAAATATACAAATTTAACTTAATTATGATAAATGTTTAGAAACAACAGCAAAATAAGGATGGAATACCTTTCAAAATATCATGCTGTATACCATAAATGTGCGTAATTTGTCCTTGTCGGTCAAATAAATAAATAAAAAAGAAAGGAAATAAACCATTATTGCCATCTGTGGTATTGTAAGAATGGAGATATTGGTCATTTGCTTCTTTATTGTATTTTCTAATTTTTTGTAATTTTACTTACACAGATTTTTATATTATAAAATTAATATAATTTCAAAAGTTATGTTGTAGATGGGGTACAAGTTTTGAGTAAGAGAAGGCAGGTAAGTAGAAGGGAAAGATGAGTGACAAAGGCTGACTGGGTCACTGGCAGCAGTCCAATCTCAGGAACTTAGGTTTAGGCTCCAGTTACTCATAACTGACTAGCTATATCAGCAGGCTGTTCTCCTTTTAGACAGTGCTGCTACATTCTGGAATTCTTTTCTTTTTTTTCCCCAACCTTATATTCTGTACCACAATGTGAGACAGAACACAAAGAGTTAACACCCAAGTATAGTTCCTTCCTTATTCTATAAGATAGATTGCATACTTAGAAACATTTATCTTCCAGAAGGCACTTTTAGTAATGCTGTTAATGTCTAACAGTAATATTAATCATGTTTTCCAGACGACTAATGCTTTTGCTGGCATCTATAATGGAAGCACATACTTGGTCACCAAAATGTGTATTTCTGCTTCATGTTCCTCAGCCAGTTAGCTGTCAGTATAAAGAGATATAATCCTCTCTAATTTATTTCAGTATTATTTAAAAGCAGCTCAAATAACTATTGGGGTCTCATTAAGCTACTTTGTGACTTAATCGCTCCTTTATATTATTGGTAGATCTACCAAATATAACTGTCAGCTGAAAGAAGGAAGACACAGACTCCATAAGACTGGCTAGAGGAACTTGTTCAAGGTACACTGTACACATGTATAGAATTATCACAATTTAATCCCCTCATGTTATCAATGTATGATAAAATTTAAAGGCGTGATTAGACTGCAAAATGGCCCTTCTGGATGAGTTGATGCCTCTGGATGAGCTGAAATCTCCTTCATTCCCTTCCTTCACACTCAGGAGTCCTCTATCGCCTGTTAAAATTCTTCATGTGCAAATGAAGAAAGACATTTCCTTCACTGGGCAAAATTCTTCCCTATTCTTACAGCTAGCATTGGATTTTTTTGATAGCATGTCACAGAAATCAGGAGACTTTAGGGTTTAAGGAACTCTTAAGAATCATTTAACCTTATGTTCCCTAAGAAACCTGGAGTGAAGTGGTTTTTTCCAAGGTGTGCTGATGAGTTAGAAGTGAGCAATTCTGAGTTTGCCACACAGTGGCCCAGTCATACTAGATCTATGAAAGTCCGTCTGCTTTCCCAGCTTGAAAACTCTTTGAGGAGAGATCAAGCCTTGTTCATCTCTGATTTATTCAGGAAGGAAGCAGAGTCAGGTGACACAAGCATGCTCTGTTTTAGTGAAAACAGGGCAAGCTCTTCTAATCCCAAAAGTCAAGTGGATGATGTGTATGTTTTTTCCCTAGTTGGTTTACCATTAATAGTAAAAATAAAAATAAACCTTCAATAGATTATTTTCCTTAAAATGTATAATCATACTCAACCCTTTTTAAATGTGCAAGTGCATTCCTGTTAGAAAATCAAAATGCTATATGAAAACATCGACAAAACCTTCCAGGAATGTTTTCAAACTTAGGCCAGTTTCTCTAGCAAGGATGCCTTATATCTGAAGGACACAAGTATTAAAGAGGCACAATGTGTACAGTGGGAACTCAGGAGATTAGAGTTTTAGCTTTTAGCTTACTACTATTCCACTCTTCCATCCATCTACTCATTTCTTCCTTCAACAAATATTTGTTAAATACCTACTATGTACCAGGTACTTTGTTGTGTGGAGCAGTGAATCAGGTAGATAATAAGCAAAAGAAAAAACTAAAGAAAAGAAATACACTGGTAAATAGCATTTAGGAAATAAAGAGGAGGATGACCAAGAGTAATGCGTGGGAGACAGCAGCAGGCATTATTGCTGACTGGTTTGACAAGTATGCATCACACCACACCTGTGTAGCATCAGGAAAATCACTGAACTTTTCTGGTACTCAGGTGTCCAATATGACAAACTAAGGTTGAACTAGAAGACACAGGAATAGAAAAAGCCCTGGACCTGAAGTAAGAAAACAAGCTTGTGTTGTCAATTCCACCTGCACTGGCTCCCTGTGACAGAAGCAGGAGAGCCCTTGAGGACTACAGTCATCTTTAGAGTAAGCCCACACACTTTCAAAAGATGTTTTACAACTCTCTGAATGTTCATGTTTATTTTCAACAGAGAAGACCTCCAAGAACTTCAGAAACACTAGATTAAGTTTTTTATATTAGGACTGGAAGCATGGCTCAAATAATAGAGAGACTGCCTTCTGAGCATGAAGTTCTGAGTTCAAACCCCAGTACTGCCAAAAAGCAACCAACCAACCAAAATATAAGTTTTCTATTCTAATACTTCCAGACAAGAAGCATATTTACTTCACGAATGGAATAATGAGTTTGGTAGACAGGCACTGATAATCTAATTAGTGTTAATGTATTTTTCACTGCACATTAAAAAATCCCAACACACTATTTTTCCTTGTTTTCCTATACTAAGTTTAAATAAAGTGACAGGATGAAGGAAAAAAAAATCACACCTCTAGCAAATCATTATCTTTTCTTTTAAATTCTGGCTAAGTGGCTACAGAACCAAAGAACAGAGAAAGTTAGGCAGCCACTACATTCAAGAAAAGAAACTGTACCGAGTGCGGAGTGCCATTGCTGGTCACTGCAGAAGGGCGGGCCCACCGTTCATTTTCCAGTTCTTCCATTACTTGGTTCATGGCACTCTTTAGCCACGTGTCCACACACACACCAATCTGCTTTAGCAGGTCCAGCCGGGCTTCAGCTTTTAGCTTAATTATCTAAGAAAACCAAGAAACTAGTCAGAAATCAAGGCAATTGCCCACACATTGATTAAGTTAATCCCCACTTATTAGTAATTTGACATCCATTAGTAATTCTTAGATGATAGTTTTTCACTTGCAGAGAGGATAGGAGGGGAGAAGAAGATATGAGCTCAAGAACAGGAATATGGACCTACTTTTATTTATTTATTTATTTAGGGTGTGCTGGAGATTGAGCCTAGGTCCTTACGCATGCTAAGCATTTGCTCCTATTACTGAGCTATACCTGCTATCAGTCGGCATACTTGTATCTTGACAAGAGCACAGTATGGGATGACACATTAAATATAAGTTACCAAAGGAAGGGACTGGTGTGCCATAAAGTCTGCTTTCCTTTCCTATGCCTCAGAACATTCTGAAATCCAGCATTTTCAGGAGCTTTTTTTTTTTTTTTTTTTTTTATTCATATGTGCATACAAGGCTTGGGTCATTTCTTCCCCCTGCCCCCACCCCCTCCCTTACCACCTTTCAGGAGCTTTTTAACCCAACCCTGGCATTTTTCTTTTCTTTTATAATCCATGGTTTACCATCTGAATGATCTCATCATGTCACTCCCCTACTTAAAAACTTCCATGACTGTAGGCTACTTACTGAGTGAAGAATCAAATAATTTTTAACCTGGAATAAAGGATCTTCACACTTTGATGGAAGTATTTTCTTCTATGCCTTTCCACACACCTTGTGCTCCCACACCGACCCTTCTTCTGACACACCATGTACTCTTGTGCCTTTGTTCACACCAGTCCTTCTGTTTACAATGCCTTTTCATTGCTTTTTTTTTTTTTTTCCAACAGTGCTAAGGATTGCACCCAGGACCTTACACATGCTAGGCAAGTGCTCTATATCTTGAACTGCGCTCCTATTTTTGTTTTGGTTTTGTTTTTGAGATAGTATTTTGTAGCTGCTTTTGTCGAGGCTGGTCTCAAAACTTGTGATCCTCCTGCCTCTGTCTCAGGAGTAGCTGGAATTAAATTCAAGTCCCACCACATCTGGCTATTTTTTCATTGCTTTTTATCTTTTATGACTACCTACATTGCTTTTAGATGCTGGTGAGCCCTTATCTTTTGAGGATCAGTTGAAACACTATCCTTGTATGAAGATTTTTTTTTTCTAACTATTCCTCCTCTGTTCTTAGGCAGTTAATCATATGCTTCTCTCTGTTCCTAAAGCACCCTATGCAGATCTAGTTATAATGTGATAGGTATTATATTATACTTAGCTATTTGTTTTCCTTTTTTATATAACTGGATGCTCCTTTAGGACTGGAACACAGACATTCAATACTATTCTCCTAGTATGTGTTCAGTAGTCTTCTTTTTCTTTTCTTTTTGAATGAGTACTCTACTAAAAAGCACTTCTACTTCTCTTCCAAGAAAATATTTTATTTTGAACAGATCTGGCACTCCAGTTGAAATTAATCTTGAAAGACTGCCATTCAATGATACTGTGTTATATAGACTTTTGGTTCCCTTTAGTAATAATGTTTGATAATAAAGTATCTCTCTTTAATGATACTAACATTCTTCAGCATAAACTTAAAAAATTCCCCTTTGATTTGGTTGTCTTTAGTGATTAACTTGTTTGTTGATTAATAGTGTTTTTGTTTTTAAGTTAAATTATGACATAGCTGTCAGAAATACCAGGAATTCAGAGTAAAAAGATCCTCTTCTCTAAATTCAAAAAAGGAAATGACTGCCTATTCTTTGGCCCTTCTTCATAAACCATGAGCAAGTAAGCATAAAACCAGTTTTAACCCTGTCCCAATCAAACAGTAACTGCTCTGGTCAAACAGTCATGCCTCTGAAAATCATCCACCCAGTAACAGCTCTGTGCTTTTGAAAGACAACCACAGCCTCCCACCACCATGCCTCTGATAGTCTGCCATTTCTAAACAACATGCTAAGGAGCTCCAGGTGTAGCCAGGGGTTGAACACGTTACTTAGCATGTGCTGGGAACTAGGTTCAATTGCCTGCACCAAAAATAAAAGAATAAAAATAAAAGCCATGGTTAAAAATGAGCTACTCCTTAAAACATTCCAAGTTTTGAAAATATGCCAATCCCTAAAGGTCAACTTCTCAAAATTCTACATATCAAGTCCTGGCTTTGTTCAGAGAGTATGTTTTGTAAGAATCATTCTCTTCTGCTTAGCAAGAAGTAAACTCAGCTCCTTTGTTTCACATGGTAGAGTGGTGGTCTCTTCTTTAACAGTGGAGTTTCACTGAGATAATTTTGAGGACCCTCATTTAGTGGCTTTCTTGTGAGAGTTGGAAAAACAAGTACTCACGGAACCTATTTGGTATGCAATTTTGATTACAATTTGGATCTGGACTCTGCTTGGGAAGTTGGCATCAAAAACAATTTGAGCTTTGACCTGAGTATTTCAGTAGGTTTTTATTATTGAATTAATTTTGTCATCCTAAGATTTTAAAGGTTATAAATTTAAAAAAATGGAGGTAAGAGATAAGGGATATAGCTTAATTGTAGAGTACTTGCCTAGTATGCCTGAGGTACTGAACTTGATCCTAGGACCATACACAGAAAAGCTGTATTTAAAAACGGACATAAAATTCACCTTACATAAAATCCATCATCTTAACAATTTCAAAGTTCAAAATCAATGGCTTTGAGAATCATATAGATTTTTTTTTTGGCAGCACTGAGGTTTGAACTCAGGGCTTTACACTTGCTGGGGCTAGCTTTGAACTGTGATCCTCCTGATCTCTGCCTCCTGAGAAGCTAGGATTACAGGTGTGAGCCACTGGTGCCTGGCTTCATACAGATCTCTATATAATGTAACTAGAGTTTTCAGCTTACAGGCACACCACTTGGTAAATACTCTTGTTTATTTTTTTTTTGATAATTTCTTTTTCTCTATTTCCCTTCCTTTTTCAGTTACAGCTTTATTGATATATAGTTCACGTACCATACATTTCATTCATTTAAAGTATACAATTCAATTTATAGCATATTCATAGTATATGCAACTATCTACAGTCAGTTTCAGAATATTTTAATCATCCCTGAAACTCAGTACTATTTTGCTATTGCTCTCCTGTCTCCATGCCCCCTGTAGCCCCTGGCAATCACTAGTCTACCTTCTATCTCTATAGATTTGCCTCTTCTGGACATTTAATGTAAATTAAATCATATGTTGTCTTCTACGATTACCTTCTTTCACTTAGAATGTTTTCAAGAATGATCTTGTGGTGACATGACCAGTATTTCATTCCCTTTAACAGTCAACTAGCATTCTATTGTATGGACATTCCACTTTTGCTTACCCATTTCTAAGGTGATGAACATTTAAAAAAATTTTTTTGTTACCATAAATATTCATGTATGAGTTTTTGTGTGAACACAGGTTTTCATTTATCTTGTGTATATTCCTAGGACTGACATTGCTGGGTCATAAGTTTAATCATTTGGGGAAATGGTTCTTCAAAGTGGATGTACCATTTGACCCCCGCACCTGGTATGAGGGTTTTTCCACATCCTGGCAAGCACTTGTTAATGTCTGCCTTTTGATTCTAGCCAGGCTAGTGGTATGAAGTGGTATCTCATCATACTGTTTATATTGCCTTGATGACTAATGGTGTCAACGCATGTTACTGATCATTTGTACATCATCTTTGGAGAAATTTTACTCAGATCCTTTGTCCATTTTAAATTGGGTTAATTGCCTTTTCATTGTTCTTTTTATTTCATCTTTCTCTTTTCATGATAAACAATTTTTACATATCCTAGAAACAGGTCCCTTATGAGGTATGTGGTTTGCAAATATTTTTCCCCATTCTCTGAGCTTTCTCTTTCTTGAAGCATCCTTTCAAAAGTTTTTAATTTTGATAGTCTTAATTATTTATTGATTGGGCTTCTGGTGTCAAATCTAAGAAATTAATCCAAGATTTGCCCCTATGGTTTCTTGTGAGAGTTTTATACCTTTACTCGTTATATTTAGGTATTTGCTTGAATTAACTTTTATACAGAATGTGAGGTAGAAGGTGTTAAAACAACTAATTGGGAGGCTGCTAGATTAAGATGGCCTACTCAGTGTAAAGGATAAAATGAAACTTAAGCTTAACCAACTATCTTCTAACTAGGCATTTCCACTGGGAATCATCCAAATAAGGCTATTGCTCTATTGTAACCGATCAAATGGTTTTTGTTGCTGTTGTTATTATTATTATTCTTTTATGCCTATAGACTTCCCTGAGTCTCAAACTGCATAAGGCTGGTAGTACTCAATCATGAAAGCATGCTCAGAGTAACTCTGTGCCTAAGTTTATCTTTTAACAGGGTCTAACTCCATTCTAAATAAAAGAATAGCCAATTTGTCCCCAACATTATACATTTTAAAGAAATGAAAAAAATTTTAAGTTAATCAACAAGGTTTTTCTTGGAAATCAGAACTGTACCTGATGAACATGGTATTTGCAAACTTAGACTTAGGTTGCAGTTCCAGAATTAAGTATTGCTGTCTTCCTTTTAGAGTTCTGTGATATTATATCTGTATTGGTTTTGATATTGTATTTATATTGGCTTTTGTCCACATTCCCAGCTAATAACTTGCATAGCACTTATAATTTCTTAAGTAACTAGAACAATTAACGTATTTGGTTTATTGTCCTTAACTCCTGGAGCAGCTTCAGAATAATACAGGTAAAAGATAGTCTTTTGTTGTAATGTTGGAGTACTTTAGGCAAAATCTCTCTGACTTACTTCTGTCTGCCTTTTACTTCCCAAGGCAGACCATAGAAACTAGAATCTCTTTGGCCCAAGGCAGGTAATTAAAACTATAATCTTTTCTGCCTTTCTGTACCCTGTCTGATAGAAGATCCTACGACCCCCATTTTGAGAGGGGTCCTGCTCCATACCTGGAAGAATGGAATGCTGCATAGAGAGACCAAGAAAAATCTGGACAGGCCTTGCTGAGTTACCCTCAGTCTATTAGCATCAGCTT